CCCCCTCTGGGCCCTCTCTTGGGGAGCTCTTGGGGCACAATTGGGTTGTCTGGGGAGCCTCCTGGGCCGTCTTGAGGCCCTCTTCAGGGCCTCGTGGCCAGTCTTGGAGTAATCTGAAGGGCCTCCGAGCGAGGGCGTGAGGGAGCGCTGGGAAGCGGGGAAAGCGAGAACGCCTAAATCATTCAAAAACCATCAAAAAGTTAGTTAATCTTGTCTCCCTGGGCCCTCCTGGGGAGCCTTTTGAGTCCGTCCTGGAGCGTGTGGGAGTCCTCGTCGGCCGTCTTGAGGGCAGCAGCCTGGACGTCTTCGGGGCCTCTTGGGACCGTCTAGGGCCCTCTCGGGACCTCCATTAGCCTGTCATGGCCTGCTTCGGGGCCCCTCTGGGCCTTCTCTTGGCGCGCTCTTGGGGCACACTTGGGTTGTCTGGGGAGCATCCTGGGCCGTCTTGAGGCCCTCTTCGGGGCCTCGTGGGCCCTCTTGGAGCGATCTGAAGGGCCTCCGAGGCCATGAGGGAGCACTGGAAAGCGGGAAAAGCGAGAACGCCAAAATCCAAAACACTCGAAAAACGAGTGAATCTTGCCTTCCAGGGCCCTCTTGGGGAGCCTTTTGAGTCCGTCCTGGAGCGTGTTGGAGTCCTCGTAGGCTGTCTTGAGGGCAGCGTGGGCGTCTTCGGGGCCTCTTGGGACCGTCTTGGGCCCTCTCGGGACCCCCTTAGCCCGTCGTGGCCTGCTTCGGGGCGGGCTCGGGCCGCCTCGGGAGCTCTGGACCCGCCCCCGCAACGCTCGGTGGGCACCGATGGGGGGAACAGGCAGCGGCCCGCCCCCCCCCCCCCTTGGGCCTACTCCGAGATAGAGAATCATGTTCCCGGGAAGCTTTCCGGAAGCATGATTTGTTCGGCTCTCTAAGAGGGGAGCCTCTTGGGGCTTACCGAGGGGCGCCTTTTGGCCTTGTCGGCAAACCTATTGGAAACATGGTTGGGACGGTGGGCGGAAGCCCAAGGAATCATGTTCCTGGAAAGCTATCTGGAAAATACGATTTATCGAAGTGTCTTGGGGGCCCGCAGGGGGCTTCCCTAGGGGCCTCTTGGGGGCCTATTGTGGCTTCCGGGGGGCCTCTTGCGAGCCTCACAGGGCTTCGTGCATGGGAGCCTCTTGATGGCCTCCGGAGCCTCTCAGGCCGGACGGAGACCTTCAAATGTCGCGCTCTTCGGTCCCTCTTGGGTCGCTCTTGGGGCTCTCTTGGGGCGCTCTCGAGGCCCTCTTGTCTTATCTGGGGAGCCTCCTGGGCCGTCTCTGGGCTTTCTTGGGAGCCTCTTCGGCCGTCTTGGAGCGATCTGAAGGGCCTCTGACGCGGTCTGGGACCATGGGGAGGCGGAATATGGGAGAGCGGAAGAATGCTTCAAAAACCATTGGATAATTTATGATTTTCGGCTTCTGGGGCCCTTTAGAGGGGCCTCTGGAGGCGCTCTTGGGGCGTTGTGGCGGCGTCGTCGGCCGTCCTGAAGCCATCTTCGGCGTGTCCCGGGCCTCTGGGGGCCGTCTTTGGGCGTCCTGGAAACCCAGTGGGCAGTTTGGAAGCTGCCCGGGGCAGCCCCGGGGGGTCTGTGACCCCCAAAGGTTCAGGGGGGCGGCCATAAGGGATGACGGCACCGGCTTTGCCCCCCCCCCCCCCCCCGCCGACTCATATATATATATATATATATATATATAATGTACACACAAATGTACACATATACACATATACACATATACACATACATATACACATATACACATATATCTACACACATACATACATACATACATACATACATACATACATACATACATACATACATACATACATACATACATACATACATACATACATACATACATACATACACACATACATACATACATGCATACATACATGCATACATACATACACACACACATACATACATACATACATGCATGTATGCATGCATGCATGCATGCATGCATGCATGCATGCATACATACATACATACATACATACATACACACATACATGCATACCTACCTACCTACCTACCTATCTACCTACATACATACATATATACATACATACACACATACATACACACACATACACATACACATACACATACACATACACGTACACATACACATACACATACACATACACATACACATACACCTATACATACATACATACATACATACATACAGACATACATACCTACATACATACATACATACATACATGCATGCATACATACATACATACACAATCATACATACATACATACATACATACATACATACATTACATACATACATACATACATACATACATACATGTACACACACATCCAGCTAAACTTATACTCATACACACACACGCACACATCCAGCTACACAGTATACTTCATATGCGTGTATGGAACATGTCGGATACGGACGGGGATCCCTTATCCGCACTGGACCCCATCTCTGTCTCGGCGAGCGGGGCGCGTCAGGGGCGGCGTCGGAAGCGCCGCCAGGGGGGGGATCCCAGCGCAGACCAAAGCGATCCTCGCGGCCCAGGGAGGGTGAAATGTTTGTGCCGTCTCTTGCTCCTCAAGTTTTGTCACAACCATCTTGTGGCGTTGGGTCTTCGCTTTCAATCAGCAACGCCCAGCGACACTCCCTCCTCCCATCTCCCCCGTCCTCCGTCTCCCTCCTGACATGTCGGCAAACCCCTCGCACGCTTCGTCTTCGTGGCCCCACAGGGAGCCTCACTAAGGCCCAAATGCTCAACTTCACATGAGCTCTCACCTTCTCACTTCGGCACGCCCCTCGCACACTTCGTGGCCCCATAGGGAACCCCCAACTAAGCGCCAAACGCTAAAATGTACATGATGTCCCGACTCTCACTTCGGAATACCCGTCACACGTTTTGTTGCTCCATAGGGAGCCCTAAATAAAGGGCCAAATGCTGGGGATGACATCAGTTCCTCTCCTTTGAGCAAGCTCCTCACACGTCTTGTGAATTCACATTGAGCCCCAACTAAAGCCGAAATGCCAAAATTCACATGAGCTCCCGCTTTCATATCGGCACTCCCAGCACACGCGTCGTATCCCGATAGCGAGCCCAAGTCTGGGCCAAAGTGCAAGAGATGGCATTAGTCCACGTCTTATCATTTCGGCACACCCCTCACACGCTTCGTGGCAACATAGATAACTCCAGCTGAGACCCAAATGCAGAAACTCACATGAGCTCCCGCCTCTCATTTCGGCACACCCCTGACACGCTTGGTGGTCCCATGGGGAGCCCAAACTAAGGCCCGAATGCGAAAATATACATGAGCTCCCGCTCCTCATTCCCAACACCTCTTACACGTATCGTGGCGGCATACGAAGCTCTAACGGAGGCCGTCATGTCAAGCTTGACATCATGTCCCGCCGGTCAATGCGGCACACCCAACACACGCTTCGCGGCTCAGCAGGGAGGTCCAACTCTAAGGCCCAAATTCAAAAAATCACATGAGTTCCCGCCTGTCATGTCGGCACACCCCTCACACGTTTCGCGGCCCATATGAAGCCCCGACGAAGGCACATGGGCTCCCGCCTCTCATGTCGACACGCCCCTCGCACACTTCGCGGCATCCTCTGACTCCCGATGCTATGGAAGCTCGGCTCCCCCGGGGGTGGAACCGCACACATCGCAGCAGCGGCATCGGCGGCGCGGCGAAGGTCACTCCAGCGATGGGCCCCTCTCGCGCGTAGCCGAAACGTCCACTGGCGGAGCGCCCGAGCGGATGGTGCGAGGACAGCGGGCCTAGGAGGAGGAGGAGGATTACCAGCCTCGAACGTATCCCTATCCCTAAGATTGACACGCCAAAAGGCGGTGACAATCTTAGGGATTCGCCCTCAAAAAATAAGGGAATCCCTAAGATTGGCATGGTGATGAGGAGGTGCCCAGCATAGGGATAGGGATATGTTCCAGGCTGGTAAGAGGAGGAGGAGTAGGGGCCTCCCAGTCCTGGCGCCACCTGCGTGCGCGGGCGACCAGGTCCGGAGCGGCGACGTCGTGGACGACGTCGCTGCTCGCGATCGAGCGACGGTCAACGACGACGGCCGTGATCGAGGGCGTCGACGACCACGTAAAGGGGACCTGGGACACACAAATAAATACACACAAATAAAAGGATTCTCCATATTTTTCTATATTTTTTGGATTTTCGTCTTCCCCCCCACTTCCCATATTTTCCTATATTTTCCGGGGGATCGACGATTCATTGTGCCTGTGTGTTTTTTTCCCTCCTGACCACGGCCGTGACCTGGGTCGGCGAACTCCCCGCCTCGCGCCCCGCGGTGCACGACGCGCGATCAAGCTTCGCCCCCCCGCGCCGACGCCACCGAGGAAGGGCAGCCGCTCCGGCCCAGGCCGCGATGCGCGGAGCGCGACCTCGCCATCGCTCGGACGTCCATTCCTTGTGCTTGTTTGGTTTCGTGCGTGGTTTTTTCCGCAGGATGATCCAGGATGCTCCTTAATAATCTCCGCCGAGAAAAAATGCACACGTCCGAGCGATACCAAGCGAGGCGCCTCCGCGTCCCCGGTGCTGCTCTGTGGGCAGCCGAAGACGACGACGAAGTCGGCGTCGTGCTCGAAGACTTCGTCTTCGTGATCGGGGTCGACATCGGGGTCGTGATCGACGTCGTCGTCGTCGTTGTCGTCGTGGTCGTCGTCCTCGTCGTCGTCGTGGTCGTCGTCGTCGTCGTCGTCGTCGTCTACGCCATCGTGGTCGAGGACGTCGGCCACGAGCGCCCCGGCGAGGTGATCGAGGACGGCGCCGACGACGACGACGACGACGACGACGATCTCGACGCCGACGGCTTCGTCGACGTTGGCGTCGTCGGTCGACCTCGCGGACGTCGTTGGCGTCGACGTCGGCGTCGTGGTAGGGCGACGTCGAGCCACGAGGGCCCCCGAGCGCGCGGCCAGAGGAGAGCGGCGCGGCGGGCGCTCGCGGCCTCCCGCTCGCCCGAGGGCCCAGAAGCCCCCCTGTTCTGCTCGTAGCCTGCGCCGCGCGAGCTCGTCGTTCCGAATTGCCCTTCTTTTCCTCGTCGTCCTCTTCCTCTTCCTCCTCCTCCTCCTCCTCCTCCTCCTCCGCTTCCTCCTCCTCCTCCTCCTCCTCCTCCTCGTTCGTCCCCCTCCCCCACTGGTCCTGTCTCCTCCTGAACGCTTCTCGTCCTCCTCCTGCTCCTCCTCCTCCTCCTCCTCCTCCTCCTCTTCCTCCTCATCCTCCTCCTCCTCTTCCTCCTCCTTCCCATGCCGATGGTTTTCCGCAGCCCTTGGGGTGGCCTTTGTGCAAGACGCACGGGGCGCGGGTAAAGGTGCGCACATGGCACGCACCCGACGAGCACCTGCACAGTCACCTCTGGCGTTAGGAAAACCAGGGCGACACCGGCTCGTCCCTCTCGCATCCCGCCCCCATTGTTGCGCGGCCGCTTGTCCCGCCAACCGTCTTTCTTCGTGTTGCTTGGTGTTATCTCGATTATGCTGTTCCTCCTCCGTCGGTTAGCCTCGGCGAATGTAGGGAGAGCGCGCCATCCATCCATCCATCTCTGTTCCGCTTCTTGGCCTGTCTGTGCCTCTCGCGGCTCGCTCCTCGTTCTCGCCCATCCTACGCCCTGCGTCTTGCTTCCAGCTTTCATGCTCATCCTTCGCGCGCGCCTCGGCGGGAGCGGGGGAGCGTGAAAGAGTGGTGCGCGTCTCCGCGGCCCCTCACTCCTAAGCTGTTCCCGAACAAAACATATTCTACCTCCAGGAAGTGCCGGCCGTTCTGCATGCGTCGCCCCCCGATTTCCTCTCACCCTGGCCGCTTCCCCGAGGCAGGCTTCGACCTCCAGGACACAGCCCGCCAGCAATGCTGGCCATCCTGCACGCACCGCCTCCCGATTGACTCCCGCCCTGGCCCCCCACGAGGGAGGCGTCGCCCTCCTAGGCACAGTCCGGCGGCAATGCTGGCGGCCCCTGAAGGGCAACGAGATCGATCAGCCGCCCGAGACGGTTACACTTGAGACGGAGATATTTCCCAACCGCCTTTCCTCCGCGCGGTGCGTCATCACATTCGCCCTCCTGGGAACAGATCTCAAAAGTGTCGGCCGGACACTTGGAGCCGCAGGGGGCCCCAAAACGAGACAAGACGGCTTCAAAAGGCCACCAGGACGCCCCAAGAGGGCCACGAGACCCCAGTGATCGCTCCAAGACGCCCAAGATTGCCTCCAGACGGCCAAGAGGCCCCCAAGATGCCCAGAGAAGCCACCGAGAGGCGTCCCGAGAGGCCCTCCAGATACAAAACTCGTCTCTGGGGCTTGCACGAGGCCCACAACGGCCCGAAGAGCTTCCCAGATCGACCCAAGAGGCCTCCAAAAGGGCCCCACGACGGCCCAAGAGGGCCCCAAGACGGCCTCAGGAACCTCCAAAGCGGCCCAAAAGGGCCACAGGACGGCCCCAAGAGGAGGCCCAGAGGGGGAACCCGAATGGACATTTCGAGCATTCGGCCCCGAAGAAGCCTGAGGAGGCGCCATGAGGCCCCCGAGAGGCTCACACGAGGCCCCCGAAAGACCCAAAGAAGCCCCTAGAAGCTTCAACGCGGCTCCTAAGAAGCCGCAGACAGGCTGCCAAGAGAACCCACAGAAGCCCGAGAGCAGAGCCGCCATCCGCCAACCGCCCCTGACGAAACCCCACGGAACTGAAACCCCAAGATTCCGCAGAAATCGCGCGCGTTCCGCAACTCCGTTTTTCACTCTTACTGCCGCCCCAAGGGGTCGGCGGCGCGGCGTCAGCCAATGAATCAAGTTGGCCCTCCTGGGAGCAGCTCTTTCCGATCTCCAAGGTCAGAATGAAAATTCGAAGGCCTGCAGGCCGGCCCATCCCCCGCCACGCAGCGGGGGCCCCCGATCGCCACCCGCTTGCGCCCGCGCCTCTGCCGGGCAGCTCCGCCCCCGCCCCTCCCTGCCCCGCGCGCACCCACCCCTGGGGCAGCCTCGCAGGAAAGCAGCCCGGCCAACGCCGACCCAGCCTGTCCGGGGCCACCAGTGGTCTTGGAAACGCACGCGCTGGGTTTGCGAAGTCTGTTTCAAATTCGCTAGAAAAGGCGCACCGCCCTGCACCTGCGACCGCGCCATGCCCAAACCACAACGCTGCTTTCTCTCAGTTTGTCCTGACCCCCGCAGGCATACCATCCACCTGTCCAATTACTCGTTGGTGGTGGTGTGCATCTGCAGTGCTTGTGATGCGAACTCGGTGCCTCCCCTGGCACAAGCCATCGCCCGGGGGCCAGACGGGCAGAGGCAGTGGCAGCCGGCCCTGGCGCCGCTCAGCGACATACTGGGAGTCAAGATGGGGCCCGCGATCATCTGCTACAACGCCCCGATCAGCGCGCGCGCGACGAACGGGCAGCGCCAGCTGGCCCTGACGCTGGTCAGCGAGACGGTGGGCGCGGAGCTGAGGCCCACCATCATCTGCTACAGCGCCCCCCACCAGGGCGCGCGAGAAGGGCGGCCAGGGGCAGCGGCGGGCAGCCCTGGCGTTGCTCAGCGAGATGCTGGGTGCGAAGCTGGAGCCCACCATGATCTGCTAGAGCGCCCCGATCAGCGCGAGCGAGGGGCGGGCAGGGGCGGCGGCAGCGGCGGCTGTCCCTGGCGCTGCTCAGCGAGACGCTGGGCGCGAAGCTGGGGCCAAATTTTCGGGGCGCGCTGGCGCCGGCGCCCGCGCCTCCGCGCCCGGGGGCGCGGGCGTCAGCCACCCCGCAGGCGCGGCCGCGATCTCTAACGTCAGCAGTGTTGCCATCGCAGCCGACGTAGACAGCGCCGACGCCGCCGCCCCCGCCAGCGCAGCCGAGAGCACCGGCGCCAGCATCCTCGTCAGAGGAGCCTGGGCCACCGACGCCAGCATCCCCGTTGACGCAGCCTGGGCCGCCGCGGTCAGCAATCTCGGAAGCGCAGCGAGAGGCACCGACGCCAAATTCCTCGCCAGCACAACGCGGAGCGCCGACGACAGCACCCTCGCCACTTCGGCAGGGGGGGCCGACGCCAGGAGATACGCCACAGCGCAACCAGGACCACCAGCCAACGCCAGCATCCCCGCCACCAGTCCCACCAGCACAGCCTTGGCCCCGCCGCCTGCATCCTCGCCTGCGCTGCGGGGCGCACCGGCAAAGGCATCTATCCGCGCCATCGCATGTGGGCCCGCGGGCGCCAGCGCCCTCGCCTGTTGAGCCGAGGGCACGGAAGCCAACGTTGTCGACATCGCAGTCGCGGCCGGGGCACCGACGCCCCCTTCCTCGCCAGTGCAGCCGAGAGCGCCAACGTCAGCATCCTCGTCGCAACCAACGACAACACCTTCGCGACCACCGCTAGGTGCACCGACGCCAGCGCCCCCGCCAGCATGGCGGGGAGCTCCGCGACGCCAGCATCTTCGCAATCAAAGCCGGGAGCACCGACGCCTTCGAGGGAGCGGACAGGCGATGGTGAAAGTCGACGCGGGGGGCGCCGCGGCTGCCGACCTCGCCTCCGGAGAGGCAGACGCCGCCGCTATCTGCCGCCTGGCGGATGGAGGCAGGCACTCGCTCCTGCCGGGCGAAAACGACGCTCCTTCGGCTCCTCCTCCTCCTCCTCCTCCTCCTCCTGCTCCTCCTCCTCTTCCACCCTCTCCCATTATTCCCTCCTACCTCCGCTCTTACCGTTCCCTCAATTATCCCTGTTCCTCCTTTCCTCTCTCCTCCTTCCCTCCTCATGGTTCCTCCCTGCTCCTCCCTTCCTCCCCTCAGACCCAGGCTACACACCAAAATTCGCGACGGCAATTTGCAGGACATGCTTGACATCTGGAAGCCGTGCCACGGCCCTGGGACCTTCCACGAACTACTCAGGATGGAAGGTTGGACCTAGGGAAGGGGTCAACATGACCAGGAGCGCGCATCACAAACAACAATGCAACATCCGAGGCTGTGTTCCTCGCCTCCTCTTCCTCCTCCTCCTCCTCCTCCTCCTCCCCTCCTCCAATTTCCTGGGGAGTGCGAAAAGGGTTGGGGAGATAGCACACGGGGTCTTAGCGAAGCAACTGCATGCAACTGGTTATCCTGGCACCTCCCTGCGGCAGAGGCGGCCGCGCAAAGAGGGAGGCGCCCACGGGCGCGAAACCACAGCTACATGCAGCAAGCTTCGCAAGACCCTGTTCCCACCCGCCCCCGCTCGTCCGCCCTGAACCTCCTTGTCGTCCTCCTCCCTCCCTAATCTTGGCTCGTCGTGGGAACATGACGACCGACATTGTTGCCCATCTTCAGCCTCTTGGGGCCCCCACGGGCCCCGGGACCGTTACAACAACGGCTGGGAGGGACAGCCGGTCCTGGGGAAAAGGTCCAGACCTCACAATCACGACGTCGGAGTCCTGGGCTCCTCCTCTACACTGCACGCAGGAGTGGCCCTTGGTAAGAGCGACCTTTGGTGCGCGGCTTTTTGGGGGCCGCGGGGGGGCCCAACACAAGCGCGCAAGACGCCACTGCCGCCTCGCGTTCGGCGATCGGGGGACCCCATTGGGCCCGCACCAAAGGCCACTCCGGCGAAAGGGCACTCTTACGTCTATAGTCGATCCTCCCATTTCCACGCGCACCGGCCCAAGGCTCCCTCGGCGCCACCCTGATGGGCACGCAGGCAGACACAATCTCGGATCGGCGCAGGGAGGAAGGCGCTCGACCGCCACTCTGCCGCGCCAGGCCCACGCGAGAGGGGGCGCCCTCCCGAGGCTCTCCCGCCACCTTCCTGCGCGCTGCCGAAGTGCCCGTCAATCACTGGGTGCCCACCTCGGTGGCATGAACGGGCTCCCCCACCCCTCGTTGAGGGCTCAGGGGCATACCTCGACTCGCCCTGGAGCTTCCACGCTGTGTTCCAGAGTTGTATGGAGATCTCTGGATCTACCTCGGAGGATCTACTTACGTAGCTTTACCTCCGACTTATCTGGCTTGATCACTGCAAGCCTATTGGCGATTGGAGAAGAGTAGTCGAGCCCTCAGGAATCCCACCCGCCATTATCTTCTGGCGGACCATCGACGCCACCTCGCTTCGCCTCCCTTCGACAGACCCACCGTTCTATCCAATCCCGTCAAAAGGGATCCAACAAATGCATATTCGCAGGCCTAACGGGCCAAAGGCGTGCTAACATCTCCGGCAAATGGTTAACAGTAGTTCTAGTTCGCGCGCGCGGAGCGGCCCCTGGGGGCCCCCGGACAAAAAGTACCCCGGCTAGGTCCAGGTCAGGTCCACAGAGCGCTCCAAGGGAGGGCAATTTTTCGACACTCCTCACGAGGATCGTGGCCTCCGAGGGGGGAGCCGCAATCGACTACCCCCCCCCTCCCGCCCCAAGAGGCCCCCAAGAGTACCCCAAGAGGCCCCGGGGGCCCCCAAGACGCCACCAAGAGGCCCCAAGAGGCTCCGAAGAGGTCCCAAGAGGCCCCCAAGAGACCCTAAAGAGGGCTCCAGGGCCGGCGGAATGACCGAAGCGATTCAATTAAACAACTTCTTGGACCTATCCGGAGGTGCCTTCTGACTAGCTAGGGTTTCGAGGCAAATCCAGTCGTGCCGACGAGGGAAGGGTAGCGGTGATTAGCGGTATCGCTTCCTCCTCTGGCGTCCCCTGCTCTCGGGGTCCTTCTTCTCACTGTCCCCCTCCCCCCTGCCTGCCCCATGCGGCAGCGTTCCGGTCGATCGGTCTCTGCTTCGGGGGGGGGGCCCCAGAGGTTGTCGACCCAATCTCTCGCATGGGTCTACCATGCAGGAGCTCTCCCCGGGACCAGCTTCTTCTCCTGACTCGCTTTGTTGACGGCCCCTGGTCCATGGGAGGGCCGCAGGAGGCCGACGCCAGCGGAACAGCTCAAGACCCCCTTCCCTCAGGGCGACGTCTGTCGCAACGTGTGTGCCGTACCCTCCCTTCGCCATGTCCATCCCAGGTGTCGCTCCCCCTTGCTCCCTCGTCCTCGCTCGCCCTCGTCCTCATCATCCTCCCTCCTCCCGATCCCTCCTCCTCCTGCCCTCCACCCCCTCCCCGTCCGCATCCTTCTCCTCGTTCTCTCCCTTCTCTTCCTCCTCCTCGCTTCTTCTCCTCCTCGCCCCTCCTCCTCCTGCTCTCCCTCCCTCCTCCCCCTCCTCTTCTCCTCCTTCGCCTCCGCATGCCTGGCATCAGAGGGGAGCGCGATTCGGGGATGCGGGGGCTGCAAGCATGGGTCTGAACGCAGCCTCAACAGAAGATTCCGAGAACAATCGGATCTTTAAAGGCCTTCACATGTCACCGCAAGCGTCCGGAGGCGTCCGGAGTGTCGAGGCCCTCCAAACTTGTCATCCTCGATTCTCCTCCCTCCCTCCTCCTCATCTTCCATGATATGTATATCTTCTCAACGGGGTCTAAGACCCGTCACCTTTACCACGTCCCTCTCGAGGTTCCTTGGTGTCGTTCCCTGTCCTTCCCCCTCCCTCTCCTCGGCCACGACTAAACGCAACCTCGATCCTCGCCGTCTGCCTCGATCCACTCTACGATCCCCCGTCCTGGATCAACCGACAAGTCCCCCCTCCCTTGCCGTCACCATGGACGGGTGGAGGCCCTGCATAACGCTGCCGAGCGGAGGGGCGTGCTGAAAACTCTCGTATGCCCTCGTCCACCTTCCTGCAGAGCCGCGGCGGCGGGGCGACTGGTCGGGGCGTTCCTCCTCCCGCTCTCTCCTCCTCCTGTCTCTTTCCTGCTGGGGGTGGGGTGGTGTGGGGTGGGGGAGTTAAGGGATCGCGGCTCGCGAGCCACTAAAGGAGAGAGAGAGAGAGAGAGAACTAAAAAAAGGAGAAATAAAGGAAGAGAAAGAGATAGAGAGCGAGAGAAAAAGAGAGAAAGCGACAGAGACACAGAGAGGGAAAGAGAGACATAGAGAGAGAGAGAGAGAGAGAGGAAGAGAGAGAGAGAGAAAGAGTGAGAGAGCGAACGATATATATATATATATATATATACATGGAAACAACAAGAGCAACGGATATATAGGGACAGAGAGAGACGTAGAGAGAGAGAGAGAGAACATATACAGAGAGAGAGAGAGAGAAAGAGATAAGGAGATACAGAGTCTGAGAGGGAGAGAGAGAGAGGGAGAAGCCGCGAGCGACACACAACGATCATAGCCCTACGAACCGAAGGGACCTACGAGAGGGACCTCCGAGCCGAGTCCAAGAGGACCTTCTTGCCAACCCGCTTGGGTGTGACGCGCCCAGACAGGGGCCAGCGACGGGCCAGCTCAGAAAACAAGATCTGGGCGAGTTGGTGATGTTGTGAAAAGAGGCAGGGACCAATCTTCCTCCTCCTCCACCGCCTCCTCCTCCTCCTCCTAATCCTCCTCCTCCCCCTCCTCCTCCTCCTCCCCTCCTCCTCCTCCTCCTTCTCCTCCTCCTCTTCCTCCCCCTCCTCCTCGTCCTCCTTCCTTCTCCTCCTCCTCCTCCAACCTCCGGCCTCCCCTTCATCACTTATCCACCTTACTATCGTGCCTCTCTCCCTTTGTCTGATCTTCGGGAAAAAATGGTGGAGAAAAAACATTCAAGAGACACGGTGGCAAAGAAACTAATACTATGAAAGAAAAAACGAAATACGGACGGAAACACGAGTTCTCTTGTACCCCGCACGCGTTCACCGCGAGCGTGGGGGCCAGCAGCAGAAGACACGTAAGACCTCCAGGGGGAAGGACCGAGACAGCGTGGATGAGAGGGGGAACCCAGAAGGGCGGGCGAAGGGCGACGGCGGCGGATAAGCGGCTTCTCTTCAGCTGGGCACGGGCGCGCCGAAAACGTGGAGGCCAGCTGTGCAAAAACATAACTTCCTCTGAACCCTAAGTGCGTGCCCAGAGCCTCTAGGAGCCTACCCACAACACACACCAGCGGAAGGCGGCCGAGAGGCCTCAGATATCACGACGGCCGAAGGCCGCAGATATTACAAAGAAGGTCATTCATTTTCACCCTTCCGACGATCACCTGTGTGATAGAAAGAATCCGTCCAAGGAATCGTCATGCGTTTGCGCTGCAAAAAACGCTATGTGTTTCTCTCTCTCTCTATCTCTCTCCGATCAGAGCTCTCCCTCAAGCAGGATGGCCCGAGGGTGGGAGAGCTTGAGCACAAGTATTAGCAACGGAACGTGCACGCCGAGCGGGAAGGAGGAAAACACAATAATATTTCACATTCCTCTGAACCCTAAGTGCGTGCCCAGAGCCTCTAGGAGCCTACCCACAACACACACCAGCGGAAGGTGGCCGAGAGGCCTCAGATATCACGACGGCCGAAGGCCTCAGATATCATAAAGAAGGTCATTCATGTTCACTCATGCGATGATCACCTGTGTGATGGAAAGAATCCGTCCAAGGAATCGTCATGCGTTTGCGCTGGAAAAAACTCTCTCTCCGATCGGAGCTCTCCCGTATCTTTGCCCATATGGGAACTCTGGGACGCAGTTACGAATATCAAGAGAAAGAGGGTGGACGCGGGTGGGTAGGCTTTGAACATCATTCAGCGACCACGAATGTGTTTAAGGACAGCAGCTGGGAACTGGCGGACCGACTTATTCATCCTTGCGATCTGCACGGCTGTCAACTTGCTGTGCTGATTCAAGAGTTTGGCGTGGCGCTCGTAGCGGGTGGCGCTCTTCTTGGCGGCCCAGCGGCCGCGGCGTCGCACCTGCTCCAAGGACCGGTGCTTGTGGTAGATGTCGTGCGAGGGGGCCGTGTGCCGCACCGTGTGCGGTGTGATGTTGAGCTTCTGGTAGCCGAGCGCCTTGGCGGCATCCTGGAAGTCCCGTTCGTACTGTGCCAAGGTGAGTGTGTCGAACAGGCGGGTCGAAGGACTGGCCTGCTGACTGCGTCGCGAGCGACGCGTGCCGCCTGAGGCCCGCGTCGCGAGAGCCTCCGCCACCTGCGGGGCCCACAGGCGCGAGGGGCTGCCCAGCGCCACGGGGTCGTCGACCTGGCCTGTCTTGGTGACGAAGCCGAGCTCGGCCGGTGCGAAGACGATGCCCCAGTCGCGGGACGGGGCCCCGCGAACTCCGACGACCGGCTTCAGCACGTTGCCTAGCACGAGGTCCACGCTCTCGGAGGGTCTGGCGTAGTCGCCCAACTGCAGGGCCATGCACGGGGCGCTCTCGCCCCGCCCGTGGTCGAGCATCCAGACGCCCATGTCCAGCAGCACCTCCTGGGGTGCGGGGTCCTTCACGGTCTCGCGTTCCCGCTTGGCCCAGCCAGCGAGTGCCCCCTCGACGTCGCCGAGCCGGTGCATCACCCCACTTATCCGCGAAAGCTGGCTGAGACCCATGTGCTGAAGACGGTGCGATAGTAAAAATTCGCCGGCCCAACGGGCTGGAGGCGTGCTAAGATCTCCGGTAACTGGTTAACAATTCCCTAATTCGCGCGCGCGGGGCGGCCCCTGGGGGCCCCTGGAGGAAAAGCACCCCGGGCGATCCCCGACCGATCCCCGGGAGACTCCCCCAGAGCGCTCCAGGAGCGCTCCATGAGCGCGCCAACAGGGCTCCGAGACGCCCCCGAGAGCCCCAAGAAAGGCCAAGAGGCCCCCAAGAGGCCCCCAAGATGGTACACGAGGGGTCCGACATGCCACAAGATCGCTCCAAGACGCCCAAGATAGCCCCCAGACGCCCCAAGAGGCCTCCAAGAGCACTCCCAAGAGGGCCCCCGGAGGCAAAATTCATTGTTTTTCCTTAGGTTTTTGAGAGATTTTGGAGCTTCCACCTTTTCGGCTTCCCGACGCCCCAAGACGGCCCAAGAGGCCCCCAAGATCGCCCCAAGAGGGCCCAAGAGGCCCCCAAGAGGGCCCCAAGATGGCCCAAGAGGGCTCGAAGACGGCCCAAGAAGCCTCCAAGACGGTCCAAGAGGGCCCCAAGAACGCCCCCAAAGGGGCCCCAGAGAGGGAACACGAAACAACATTTCGAGCCCTCGGCCCTAAGAAGCCCCTACGAGGCCCCTACGAGGCCCCTAAGAGGCCCCAAGAGGCCCCCACGAGGCCCTCAGGAGGCCCCCAAGAGTCCCCCAAGCGGCCCCAGGAGGCCCCCCACATGCCCCCCCGAGCGCCCCAGGAGTCCCCCAAGCGGCCCCAGGAACCCCCAAAGCGCCGCATTGACACCAGGCCCTCGGGCAAACGGCAGACATGAGACTGCGTGGGCCGGCGGAATGAGCGAAGCGATTAAATAAGAGAAGCCAACTTTGAGCACAATGCCGGCGGATATGTTCCTGCTGCCTTTGTTTTGCATTGTGAACGCCAGACTCCATCAACTCCCATGACTCGTTCTTGACCCTCAAGGATACGATGAACATGACCCCCCTGGCACCTCGCCTCGAGCCCGCGCAGGGCCAACGTGTTGGTGAGGATAGTGGTGGGCTTCTTGTGGGAGACCTCATACTGGCACATGTGGAAGGTGACCTTGAAGACCTCGGGGGGCCCCATGAGGTCCACGATGGGCCCGAACTCCCAAAGCCCCGACGACGCAGGATTCTCCAGGCTCCAGAGGACCCCGCAACGGGAAGCCAACGTGCATACCTCAGCCGTGAAGAGGGCCAGCTCCACAGCGACTGCCTCCTTGGCGTGAGCCTTTGCCAGATTAACAACTCCCCTCCTCGCAATAGACCAGGCCGCGCATGGGGCCCCCAGATGCATGCACCAGATGAGGCCCGCAAGGATCCAGGACTTGATGAGGTTCTGAGTGCTTTTTTCTGGTGAGGTCGAACTTCGCGCCTCGCAGCAATCCGCAGGGTGGCCCGGCCCGCAGACCGCGGGACCGGAGGGCCCAGGTGAGGCCAGCCTCGCCGGCAAAGAGCTCGAGCGCCACGGTCTCCTTGCCCGGGGCTGCGGCTCGGAGGCGTCCTCTACCCCCGAGTGACATGACTGGTGTTGCTGCTGGAGGGTCAGCCGAGCCATGTGAACACGACCCTGGATCTTGCTCTGGACGAGGCTCGGTAAGATGTGACGGCCGTTCGGCCGACCCTCCAGACTGGTGCAGGCGCGAGCCAGCGTCTGCTGCATGTCACTTGCTCTCAACGTGCCGAGAGTGCCAGCGAACCCGAGCGGCGATCTGGTAGCCGGCCGCCCGTCTCGCCAGCGAATTGAGAGCCCACGACTTCGCGCGGCCCTTCTCGAAAGCACAGATGGACACAAGGTTGTCGCCCAGCGACGCGACCCGCTTGCCGTGGTTGTGGCGGGCGCGGGTCGCCCTCCGCAGGCCGAACAAGGAGGCTCGACCCTCCTTGATGTTGATGTGCTCCTTGGTCCACTTCCAGCGCCCGACCCGCAGATGGGTCCAGCGACGCGGCGTGCCCCAGCAATGGTCGACCGGCGGGGTGGCACTCGGCAACTCGACCTCCTCGTGGCGCGGCCGAGGGCGGGGCTCACGTGCCCGTCGCCCGACTCGGCCGGCCTTGTCGGCCAGACGGCTGCGGCGCTCCTCGTCCAGGAGGTGCCCATGCTGCGTCCGCGGGCCGATGGCACAGGGTCGAAACCCTCGCACGGCAACGTCAGCGTAGGCGCCATCGGGCAGATCGGCTCCACCTCCAGGCCGAAAGCGACCCCCAACGACTCGGCCCACTCGGGCCGGGCCAGGGCGACCTCAGAGAGGGTCTCCACCAGCTTGAACCTCCATCTCTCGCGGTAGCGGGTGAGGTCCCGCAGCTCGGCCTCCGTCGCTCTGGTGGAGAGCAGCGCGAAGCCGATGTCCGACGAGTCCGAGCAGTAGACCTCGCGGCTGAAGTCCGCGCCCAGGTCGTTCTCGCAGAGGAACAGCAGGCCCCGGACAAGGCGCATCCGGTTCTTGACGGCGTCGGGGAGGCGAACTCGTCGCCCCCGCGCGTTGGCCACGAACGGGTAGATCTGCTGGAAGCAGGACAGCCCAGGTCGCAGCAGGCCGAACAGGTTGACCACGTGGCCCATCCAGATCTCCAGGATGTTCCCGTGGACCCAGCGGCACCGCCGTAAAGCCCGCGTGGCCAGATAGACGCGCCACGCGCGGCGGGGTTGATGCCGCAGGCACCGCTGCCGGCCATCGAAGACAACCCCCAGGCTCTCGAAGACCACCCCGACGTCGCCATCGACGTGCGTGCCGATGCCGGCCTCCGCCGCCGCGCGCCTAAACCGCTCGATCGAGTCCTCGGCGTCGACCTTGCCACCGGCGATGGTCGTGAAGTTGCCCGCGTAGACGCCGGAGACGGCCTGCCCGACCCGAAGGGCCGGGGCAGGCGTGCGCTCGCGCACGAGCGACCGAGGGCATACCGCACTCCTGCCGGCCAGGAAGGCGACGGCCTCGTTGGCCAGGTGAAGAGCCCAGGACCACCCCATCGCCATGCCGTGGAAGACGAGGTAGAGGGTGTCGGACGAGTCGACGGGGACGTGGCGCCCGACGTCGTCGTCGTAGACGTTGGAGACGCCCCGCTCCCCCGCGGTCCCAGGCATGTCGATCCCGAACCACGACCCGAGCTCCTCGACCAGCATCTGGTAGAAGCAGTCGTCGACGTCGCTGGCACCGCCCCAGACCTCGGCCAAGGGCCCGAAGCCGCCGAGGTCGCGGAGGGCGGAGTCCGACAGGTCGAGCTCGCAGAACCCGCCGACGGACCCCAACTTCGTCTTGGGCGGCGCGCGATGGCAGCGGTTGGCCTGCCTCGCGTCGATGATGAGCCTGATCCAGGCGGGGTCCTTTTTCTTGACGAAGAAGATCCCGTTCTTGGCTTTGAGCTTACGGCGGAAGCTGATGAGGTTCGCCTGTCGAAGCCGACCGATGAGAAGAAGAAGCCCATCTTGATCCCGAGCGAGCGTAGGATCCCAGTACGGCCGCGGGAAGTCCCGCGCGGCCTGCAACTCCAGTATCTGCTCCGAGTCCCTCTCGATGCAGTGGGCATAGTGTCGGATGAGGCCGGCCGCGTCGGGCGGCAAGAGCGACTTTGCGTCCTTGGCCACAGTGCCCGAGCGGCAGATCTTGAGCTTGTCGATGTCGTACTCGGCGAGATTCTTCGGCTCCTGCGAGTACAGGTCCCTGGACGCCGTGAGCTCCGCGAGGGCTCGACTCTCGCCCAGGCCTCGAGGGGGGGGGGGCATGCGCCTTGACGCGCCGTGCAACGTGCTGGAGGACATCGCATTGTAAGGGCGTGGCTCTCCCCCCTCCGTATCCCCTCGTACTTGAGACGCTCGAGAAAGAAGCAGTAGCGGCGGCGAGCTGGTTAAGAGACCTAACCACTCCACACTCTCGCCGATGCCTATGCCGCTGTTCAAGCCGTCGCTGCCGAGCGCATCGGGGAGCGCCGGGAGAAGCTGGCGAAGAAGAGGAAGGCGACGGGAGAGGAAAGAGCTCCCCGCGACGCCGCTGTGCTCGGAGCCGCCGTCGGACAGCAGCACCTCCGCGGTCAAAACTGGCGGCGGGGTCGGCCATGGAGCACGACCGACCCAGCCTGAAGGGGGCTGACCACTGTGGTCAACCCCCCGCTCCCCCTGACTTCTCGCCCTTGCCGTCGCCCCCCTGCTCGGGGCCTTTCGGCTTCCTCGGGCCTCTCGGGTCATCACCGTCACCTTTGCCACCGCGGGATCGCTTCTCCTCCTGGGTCCGCTCCTCGCGCAAGAGCCGGGCCTGCTTGAGCGTCCGGGCGCGCTCGCCCTGCTTCTTGTAGACCCAGTCGCGGAAAGACTTGCTGGAGGCGGCGCCGCTCCCGGTCGTCGGGCCGCCCAGCACCAGGCCCGGGCCGCCGTAGTCATGGTGCTTCGCGCTCCGCCCCACCGCCATCTCAATCTGGACCTGGCGGCGAACCAGCTGTTCGAAGCACGCCAGGTTGGGGATGTTGAGCTGGTCCACCTGGTGGGCCAGCCTGAGCACCTCCGCGTTGTTCCTGTGCTCGTGGAGGGCCGCGGTGCCGTCGCCGACGCCACTGTCCTGCCTCCACTCGCTCTCGTAAGCCACCATCGAGCCTGGCCCGTCGCGGATCGACTCGAGGTACTCCAGCGCCGCACGCGGCGGCGGGAACGGCCAGTCGTCGAAACTGTCCTCCGTGAAGAGCTGCACCGCGTCGTGCAGCGTGAGGTTCCGCTTCCCATGCTTGCGGTGGATGCCCAGGATCCTGGAGTGGCCTCCGACCCCTCACGCCGCTGCCTCCACTCGTCGACCTTGTCGGCCGCGACCCGCTCCACGAACCGCTTCTCTCTCAGAGCGTGAGTTACCTCCCCCGCTTTCGCTCCCAGGCAAAACCAAGCCATACCACGCGCCTCCTCGCCAAGCGGCCTGACCAGTACAGGCCGCAATTTGGCATCGTTTGGTATCTCTTGGAAGCGAGGGTGGTCAGAAGCGAGGTAGGTTTGTCTTCCCCCGATTCTCGCCGAGCCAGTCGACGACGCCCAGCGACCCGAGAGAAACGAACTTCTGATCATCCTCCAACACCTCGGCAGGGACCTCTTTGCCAAAATGGTCGCTCCCCGCCTCATGCACCAGCCACTTGACCTCCTCGGCGTCCTCGAACTCCACGTCGCCGAGGATGGCCGCCTGCGCCCGAGCCTGGCGCTTGAGCTCGTCGAGCTGCGCCCGGCTGACTCCGTCGTCGTCGAGGACATAGCAGCGGGCCGCGATGTCGGGCGGGAAGGGGTCTCTCCGTCCGAGGATCCGGTGCCGCTGCGCGTTGAAATCATGGATCTGCATGCCCAAGTCGGGCGTAAGGCACACCCACCGGCCTCCAGCAACACGATACAAGAGAACACGGTGATGCCACACCAGGCCATTCTCGTCATCCGGGTAGTGAACGAAGACCTGGGTCTCTTTGACATCAAGCGATGGCATTCCGGCGAGACGCCGGCGTGACAGGCCCCGAGCTGTCCGTCAAGACCGTGATCACGGGCGCCACCGCCGGAGCCAGCGCAGGCGTCGCGGGAGTGGCCCGCCGAGGCCGCACCAGGGACACGCCACTGCCGACAGTGAGCCCCACCAGCAGCCCGGCCGCGCCAGACACCAGCGTCACGAGCGCGCCGACGAGGATGAGGTTCCTGACAGGCTCGGGGGCCGGGCAGTTGCACTCGCAGTGCGCTGCCGGACAGGTCGGCCCGGTGCTCGTCGCACACGACAAGCTCGGGCAGGAAGGGCAGGCAGGGCAGCTTGCAGCCAAAGAGGCGGTCCCCACGTGGAGACCAAGCGTGGTCAGATCCCGCGCGGCCGCGAGCAGAGCGGGGATCGGCTCGGCAAGCGAGGTCATGAGAGTTCGAGCACAAGTATTAGCAACGGAGCGTGCACGCCGAGCGGGAAGGAGGAAAACACAAAGAAGGGAGAAGGACGGGGGACGAAGACAGAGACGCATGAATGAGTGGGAATGCACACACGTTTTCTGTGAGGTCGTACAGGGCGGTGGAAAGGGAGGAGGACGGATGAGGCGGGGGAAGGATATGAGAAAAATATTGGACGGGAAAGACGAAGAAACTATTGCACGAAGAAACGGATAGGGGCATGGAAGCCGGTTGGGATGGGGGAGAAGGAGGGGGAGAAGGAGAAGAGAATGTGGAAATATGAAGGAGATGGAGCGGTGACGGGTGATGATGATTAGCAGAAAATGGATTTGAACAGACGGGGAAGGAGCGGCGACGGGTGATCGTGATTAACAAAACAGGGAGTTGAACAGACGAGGGATGAGCGGTGACGGGTGATGGTGATTAACAAAGAAGGGAGTTGAACAGACGAGGAAGATTAATTGCACAGATGAGAAGGAGGAAGATGGACATGAAGGGAAGGACGACGGGAGACGACGATAGGCAGGGGTTTAAGATGACATGAGAAATTGAGCCGACAGAGACGGCGCGACAAGTATGCAACATATCAGGTGTTTTCTGATCACGCTAGAGATTAGCATCGTCGCTGCGCCATTCGTCGCATGATTGCGATGAATACAGACGGAAGGGCTTGCTGTTGATGGCAACGGCGACGACGGGGACGAGGAAGACGCCAAGACGACAGGGGCAACGACGACAACGGCTACGACGACGAGGGCGACGGCGGCCACGAAGGCGACGACGAGGACGACGTCGGCGACGACGGCGGCAACGACGACGCGACAAGGCGGGCAACAGTGATGGCGACGAGACGACTGGGAAAACAACGACGACGGCGACGACGCGACGATGACGGTGCAGGGATGGCGCTGGGCGGCGTGGGCGACGGAGCCGCGTCCTCAGGGTCTTGTCGATCTCCCTGAGGCCTGCAGGTCCGCTGCCCACTTGAGCGCGCGGGGGGAGGGACGAGAGGAGATAAGGGATTGGAGGGGGGACGAAGGAAGGCACAGACGAACCCAACGAGACCCCACTTATTGGTTTTCGCCACCCCCTCCCCGGAGCAATGCCGAGCAATTCTGAGCAGCGCAAAGCAAAGCCCACAAAGCATTGCTCCGCGTCGCTTGACACTGCTGAGCAGTACTTGGCAGTACTCGGCATTGACTTTGCATTCGCATTGCTTGGCGTTGCTTGGCATTGCTGGGAATCGCTGATTGGCATTGCTTGCATTGCTTGGCTTTGCTTGGGACCGCTGCCTCGCAGTTTGAACAGGAAAGAGCGGGAAGGGAGAGGCAGAAAGAAATAGTGGGAAGGACGCGGAGGGAATGGGAGACGGAGGCGAAGACCAAACACTGCCCTCAACAAAGATGCCCTCAACAAAGATGCTCCGGGGGCGTCCAAGAGTCTGGCGTCCAAGAGGGGGGGTCGCAAATCACGGTCCCAAGCATGTGCGCGCGGACGAGGGGACGTCTGGGGGACGCCTTCAATGAAGAGGCGGGGGCCATGACATCGGCGGAAATATCTCGGCCCCTGCTATGAAACCCTCCGCCACCAGCTATTCCCCCAACTCTCTGCCGCACCCGTCTCCATTATTCTTAATATGAGCATTGCTAATATTATCATTAGTATTAGTATCCCTCTTGTTCTTACTATGTTTACGACTTTTAGTACGGTTATTCTTTAAATTATTCGTTTTATCCCCAGCAATATTATTGTTATTATCATTCGTCGTCCTCCTCCTCCTCCTCCTCCTCCTCCTCCTCCTCCTCCTCCTCCTCCTCCTCCTCCTCCTCCTCCTCCCCCTCGTCCAGAGCCGTTTCCGCACCCTCGGCGGGCCTCTGCCAGGCCCTGCCGGCGGTTCAAGCGGCCCCCCGGAAAAAGGAAAGGGGGGGAGGGGGGGAGCAAAAACTTGGCGTCGCGCAGCACGGGGTGGCGCGCGGGGGGCGGCGCGTCCCTTTAGGGAGGCGAAGCGCTTCTGAGCAGGCAAAGGGGAGGAGGAGGGGGACGGGGAGGGGGAGGGGGAGGAGGAGGAGGACGGGTCGAACCAAGGAGAAGTGTGGGGCAATCCCCTCAAATCGAGCTGCTCGGCGCCACGCTGGACGCGGGGCACGAACGGCAGGCCCTTTTGGGCGGCGTCCGTGCACGGCTCTTGGCGACGGGCGCGGGAGCTGTCGGTCCATCAGCAAGCAGCAACGCGCGGAAGAACCAAGAGAGAGCAAGGGCACTCCCAGGCCAGGGGGGGCGACAGGGCCAGGCACCACCGCCAGCGGCAGCGTGCACGGCCCCTTCACCAGCACTCAGCAAGGGACAGCCGCAGAGGGGGGGAGGAGAGGCCAACAGGCCCGAAAAGGAACGAAAGGGGAGAGAGGAGAGAGAAGGGACGAAGGACGACGGCAGGAGGGACCATTGCATGCAGAGAGGCCCACACTCCAGACCAGAGCGATGCCCACAGTCGCATCCTTGCGGCGGCGAGGCGTTAGCCAAGAAACGCAAACTACATCTTAACTGCGCGGCAACTGCCGAGAGCCAGCTCATCGACGAGTGCCGGCAGAGATGCAGGGCGGCAGCTACAAAATCCACAGCAGTGCTGACGGCGCCGACTGCGCAGCATTGACCGCAGACCGACTCGCGATATCTCAGGGATTTGCGGACCCTCGAGATCCAGGTGCCCAGGGCGGCGCGGCCCCGAAAAGGCCTTCCACTTGATGAATGCCTCCGCCACCGTGACCAACCACTTCTCACACTTCTCACCCCTCATCGCAATGATCAGGCGCCTCTTCTTCGAGTCGAACATCTTCTCCATGCGAAACAGACCAATTATGTGCTGGGCCTCGCAGCCCCCTGGTCAGTACACTGTCAAGTACCTCTGCGCGTCGGCCTTGAGAGGGTCGGGAACCGAGTCGACCATCGTCAAACAGGCGGCCGTCTGGATGAACGAGTTTGGCGGTCCCAAGCCGTGTCCCTTCTTGCCTCGGGCCCGCGGGATGTGCTTCTCGTTGTGGGCCTTGAGCACGGCGGCGCACTAGCTGCCCTCCGCGGGGGTGACACTCTGCACCGCGCGCGCCGTTTCGAGCAGCCTGTTCTTCTGATTCGCGATCGCTGCGGGCTTCAGCGCCGCGTTTAGCTTGGCCTTGTCCTCCGCGCACTATACTTTGGCGCGCTTCGCACCTCGGCCAGCTGGCGCCGCAGGGGCACCCCCTGGACGACCAGCAGCGCCAAAATGGTCAGACCAGGCCGACATCGCCCAGCCACGAGAATGCTCCAGAACACTAAAGAGGGCGCCCCCCAATGGACAAGAGGCTGCTGAATTTGTCGCGATAACGCCCTGCAGGTGACTGAGCCTCAATGCGACATGCGCCGGACAAAAAGAGCATGCCTCACATTAAACCGAATACTGCAAGGCCCCCCGTGCAATAGCATCGCACTGAAACTCTGTGTTACATATCTCGCAGTTGCAGGGGGGTCTCACCACATGTGCACGCACCGTCACCAAACCTCCAGATTTAGGGCACTGGCCCCAAGCTAGACTGGCAACAAAGTGACCAGATGCGCACCGATGTGTCGTGTAGAACTTGCCGCATGTCATACACACGTTGGGAATAGCGAGGATCTTGGCAAGTTTATTGTGTCCATGGCCCGCTGCTTTAGAGTTGGCCTGATGCAGGAGGAGCTGGCGTTTCGCGGTGAATGCCACGCCGTATCCATCTATGTCGCACTCGCACGGCGCAGGGGCAGCCTCTGGCACAAGTGGCACAGGCGGACCTGGAAGCACATCACCTCGTCCTCCTCTTCCACCTCCCTCAGCGTGCAATCCCTCGCTTCCCACCTCCCCCGTTGCCCTGGGCATGCTCCTCCACCTCACTCGCCTCCTGGTGGATCTACTGCAACGTCGTCGATCTTCCTGAGCGCCTCTTCGCCCGCGGTACTTTGACCTTCCAACAGGCCTTCCTGATACTGTCGCCACAGAACAAATCGACAAACTTGCGAATGGGAACCGGTCGCGCCTCTGGCAGGCCGAGTTCCGCGATGCAAACGGGAATGTCCAGCAAGAAATGGCTCCAGCATGGGCGAACCAACTGGCGCCAACCGACGAAGAGGAAGGAGGGGGAAGTCTCGTTCACATCGGCAATGCTTGTCCCGCGCAGCATAGCCGAAGAGCAACGCCAGCATCAAGGTGTGGCGCTCGGGGGGCCTCGCGAGCGCCTGCCACCTGGCCACGCGCGCAAAACTGGAAGGTGTCCAGAGTTTCATCTGCTCCTGAACCTGCGCGTTCGAGAGGGCAAACTATTTTTGGGTTGGTCTTCAGTGGCAGCAAACGTCAGAAGCCCTTTGCCGTGCAACGCTCGTCTTGCTGAAGGTGCCTGGACTCCCCCCAGTCTCTGTACTTCAGTTCCCCGAATAAGATATGCTATTATCTCCGCGAATTAAGCCCCCTCCACCACGCTGTTGAACATGGCCGGTCGACGCCGATCGTTCGCAACTTCAAACCAAAAACTACCCATGACAGCAAACGCCTTCTCCGTGCGCCTGCTACGATTGTCGATCTCAGGCGGCGCGCTTCCCTGGGACTGCAGCGCGTCTCCCAAGTATTGCGCCTCTCTCCGCGCCTGCCTTCGTAGCGATCCCGTCTCGATAAAGCCTCCTCATGCCCTGCTGGATCCCCGTTTCTTTCAACTGCGCCCATGAAACCTGCTCGCCCCCCGTTCATAGCTGCGCCCATCTCGTGCATCTGGGAGCCCAAGCGCAAGAACTGCGAGTTGCATCTGACCCTGCAGTCGGCAGCGCCCTCTACGGCAGACGCCCCCGCCACGTCGCCCGAGCAGCTCCACGCCGATATGGCATAGAACTCGCGCGCTAGTTGATTCAGGGACCATCGGCCGTCGGGCGCACCAGTCAGGAAATACCAGAACCACAACGCCTGCACCGATGCACTGCGAGCGCCGGATTTTCGAAGTCCGCCTAACTGTGCACTGTGCGGCCCCAGGGGCCATGCGCGTGCGATCGCGTTGCCAGGTAGCGCGCCTTGCCCTGTGCCTACAGCCAGCGCGCCGTCCGCGCAGTCAATCCAGACCTGCGCGAATCGCAACCTCTGCAGCTCCGCTCCGAACTCTGCGCTAGAAGTGCAGACGCGCCCCTCTAGGTGCTCGCGATGTGCGCTGTGCAACGCATTGGTCGCATCGTGGAGCGTGGTCATCCTGCCTATCTTGCCCCCGTGCAGACGCACAGCGCAGATGCTCTGTGCTACGATTGCCTCCTCGCGCCGCCGACCTTTCAGTTGGCCGAAGAAGTAGACGCGGTTGGCAGCACTCGTGAGAAGCGGGTAGCATCGTCAGAGGTACCCGTAAGAATTCCCACCGGATAAGTCCAGCGAGCGCACGAGCACTTCCACTCGCTTTTTGGCCGTTAAGTTCATCTACAGAGAACGCCCTGCTCTTATGCCGCGCCAGCAGCGTCTCCCAACGGCGACGCGCAACGACGCAGACCAGCAGCAAACAGATGCCGATACTCGGGAGGAAACTACAAATCATTCTCATCAAATTCAAGCACACCATTGCGGGGGTGCTTGCATTCATTCGGCCGCGCCCAGAGACGCCACACCCCACCTGGGAGGCTCTCGTCGGGTGGCGCACGCCGCAGCCCCGCGCGTTTCATGCGAGCACGCGCAGCGCAGAAATCCTCTAGGCCTTCCTGCACCGCCTCTAACGTTAGCCCAAGCCGAGGTGCACGAGCCCCCCGAACCTCCCCCTCCGACGCCTGGGGCGGGGGCCTCGCGCAAAATCCCCCGCGCCCCCCTGGCTGCTTTAAAAATAGAACTACCCTGCGACGTACCCAACCCAATAGCATCAAGTGGCAAGCGGAGTAGGGAAACATTAGCAGGAACCGTGACAGTGCAGGCGCTGCGATTTGTAGTGCGACCTACATGGGGTGC